CCTGCAGGAACACACCGGGCACCGGCACAACCTCCAGACACCAACCTTGTCTCAATGACAGGGAAGCCACCATAACGCTCAACGTTTCTCCAGTGGTTAATAATCATCACTGTTAAAATAACCCTGACTTTTTATTCTTTCTTGAAGTTACAGCTTCCAGTCCTGGAAACTCATTAGTTTTTCTGCTATAACACCAATTAACTTTTTTGTTTAAAACATTTTCAGAGGAAATGCTCATCACTTTCCTATTTTTTATTTTTTTATAATAGGCAAGATGATTTGAAAAGTTCAAGCCTTTCAAGCAAGCAGGAAAGGTAAAGCTCTACCAGAAGCTATGAATTCAGTGCAGGGTTAATGAAGGGCTTTGTGGACTATTTACATGCAGAGGTGTATTACATGATTGTAATAGTTTGCTTTAACTTCAGAATTTTAAAATCCCAAAGAGTTCTGTGTAAGTAGTAAGTGACAAATGACTTCATTTTCAAATGCTTCCTTTAAAATGTAAATGCATACATCATCTTTGAACACAAATCTATTAACAATTTGGCATCATAGAGGGTATTTTTAAATATTAAACACTTTGACATTCACCATTCTCAGTGGTATTTTATTTTCTTCACCACTGGCTAAAAACATGTTTCCAGCCAGATTTTTCAGTTTAGGTGGCAAGCAGTAATCTGTTAAACTGTGGTTAATTACAACACTTGCAACTGCCTCTCCATACCCACCAGCTGCACCCAGTTGACCCATGGAGATGCAAGCAGGTTGAGCCCAGTTTTTAATCACTGAACACAGAAGCAATTCCTGTCCTCGTGCTGGTTCATGCTCAGGTGGAGGGCTTTTTCTTGGTGGCTGAAGGCACACCTTTTTTGGAAAAGGTCAGAGCAGCAAGAAAAGCAACCATGCCACCTTCTGTGCACTGGCACCTGCTGCTGAAAAATGAGCAGCAGTAACTGCTGACATGGTATTTGAAATACTCAGCAAACATGCTGGTCCAGGACATCCCTTGACATCCTTTGCCTGCAAGGGTTTTTGTAGATACCTGGCTGTAACTTAAAACAAAAAAAAGTCACGAGGACTTTTCTCTGAGCTTACTCATGGCTAAAGATTTTAGCAGCAAGTGAGTGAAACCCTCCAGCTCACTCCTTGAAAAGCTGTAGTGCTGTAAAGAAAAGAAGAAAGAAATCACCTGGGACTGAGGAAGGTGAGGAGGGGAAATCAGGGAAAGCAGAGAAGAGAGGGGAGAGAGGAAGGAAGGAGGGAGAGAGGGAAAGAAGGAAGGAAGGAAGGAAGACAAATCTGTATGTTGTTAGAAATAGCATTTGTCAATTCCATATAGACAGTAATAACTCCAAAAGACCCAATTAAGGCAATGGAAATGCAGAAGCAGTAATGCAGAGATGAATCATCTGACCTAAAATAGAGGGAATGATGAAACATATAAGGGAAGAAAGTGTGTCATTTTAGCTTTAACAACAAAATAATTCCAGATATAATATTTCAAAAATGTTTGGCCAACAGAAGCCACAAGACAGTTTTGGTTACTACAGCTTTATCCAGGTACAGTGGAGAATTTATCTATTACAAGCTATAGTTTAAAATGGACAGGTCTGCCCTCCTGCAGGTCTTGTAAACAAAAGCTAGGCAACACCCAAACTACCACACATGCCAGGCAGTCTCTAAGAGTGACACCACCAATTAAGGATACAAAATAAACTAAAAGATATATTTATCAGCTTTTAAAAATAGGATGACAAATATGTCATGAATTACAGAATCCCCTCACTTTCTCTCTTCCAAGTCGGTATTGTACTAATAAATAAAACGAGACCGCAAACTAGCTCTCATCGCGATGTAGGTCTGCAGCAGTTGTGAAGCAATGGAGAAAAAGTTTCCAGTGCAGAGAGTCTGCACATATTCTCAGAACTTTTACAGCCTTAATTTATATGAAAAAATGTCCAGCTGAAAGGGGGTGGGGGAGAAATCATATCCAGGCAGCTGAGCAGCTTGCCTGAGAGAAGAGGACAGAATTTCTGTTCCATATCACACGTTTCTGCAGACTCCTGGGAACAAATACGCCCCTTCAGTAACTCCAGAGTCCACTGACAAGACTGCAAGGGTCAGATTCCTAAACCACTGATGTCAGGATTTAAGACTAGCACTAAATCACTCAAACCTACCCTCTCCTCTAGCCTGGAGAATGCTAATCTCTCCTGTGAGCATGTCAGGTGCCAGCAGTGATTCCCCCGTATGCCATCCTGATAGCATGGCACCCATCTGTCTTTTCCCACTTTGACTACTTCCATTGTCCACATACAAAGGGAAATTTGTATGTTCACAAAGTTGTCTCCAACAGGGAACTTCCCTTTTGTATTTAAGGACAACTTTAATTCTATTTTGTGCTACTTTGGAAATAGGAGAAGACCTTAAGAGGAGAAAGAACAGCCCCGTACACTGAAACACAATAGCTAGGTCCTTCTACACCACTCTGAGATTATCAGTATTTTCTGTGTTTTAATTAGCCATATGGTAAGTGCCATCATCTTTTAACCCAGCATCAAAATATAACTGCAAAACCTTAAAGCAATTTCCACCTAAGGGCCAACGCTAGCATAAGATTTCTCTAGTCCTGAGCCATCAGATACCATAGCTAGTGAAATTTCTTGTATGTGCAGTATAGACAATAATGCTTCAGCCATACAAACATCACAAAGTACAAAAATAAAAAAACAGTTTAAAGCCAGATTCCTCTGCCTACCTTTATCCTTTTTGCAATGATTCTGTTTAGTTTCATCATTTGTGCAGAAAACCATCAGATACTCAGTATCTCGTGTCAACATGTCACATGGAGTATAATGCTGAGGCTTCACTACAGTCTGCCCCAAAGTCTACATTAATTGCAAGGTGGAAGTCCACAGCTGCAGCAAAATTGCTGCTTAGACACGGTGCACTGACACACATGCAGTCCATGTGCATTTGCACCACCATGCAACCCCATCTCAGACTGAAGAACCGAGGCACACTGCGTGAGGTTCTCCTTTCTATCATCTCCATCTCACTGACCCCGGCTCTTTCCACCAATGATGCCAAGGGAGGATTCTTGGTGAGAGACCTGCTGCTCAGGTAGCTGCGCAGGGACCTCCGTTAGGCCTTCAAACTCTAAAACTCTGGGTAGTTTGGCCATTAAAAACCTTTCTTCTTAAAGTACTGGGTTGGGTTTTTTCCCCATGAAGTCCCATGACAACACCAAGGGAGATGGTATAAGAAGTCATCATACTATGAAGAGCCTGGCAACCAAAGCAATGCAGCTCACATGTCTAATTCTACCATCTGACTTGTTTTCAACCAAAAACTTATCCTGTGGTTCTCCGATAAGTATTCTAGTTGTACGGGTCATGTGCCATCTAGAGCTATGATCTCTGCCAATATAACAAAGAGAACAACATTGGAGAGAGTAATGTTTGCATATTTAAGGAAGCGGAAGCCAACTGTAAAACAGCATGGCCAAAATTTGCCTCTTCACATTCGGCTGCACCTCTGTGATAGCGTATTTAAGAAGGGACATGGTGAGGAGGAGTTGAACTTTGAGGAGGAGTTGCGGCAGCTGCGTGAACACCAAGGTCAGTGGAGGAACGGAGGAAGAAAGGAGGGGGGAGGTGTGCCGGAGCAGAGACCCCCCTGTATCCTGTGGTGACGGCAGGGCGGCCCCCCCTGCCACCCATGGAGATCTACGGTGGAGCAGACACTGATTTATGGCCTGTGTTTCACCTGGATGACCAAGGTATCTGTGCCCTAAGAAGGCCGGAGCCTTGTGGGAAAAGGTAGCCCCACTGCTGGGAGGATTGCAGCATGCGGGGGTGTCCCACGCCGGAGCAGCTCCGGAAGGGCTGCAGCCATGGGAGGGACTCCAGTTGGAGAAAGTTGGTGTCCCACACCAGAGCAGTGTAAGGAAATGCTGCGGCCCGTGGGAGGGACTCACGTCAGAGAAAGTTTGTGGAGGACTGTCTCCTGTGAGAGGGGGACCACGGTGGAGCAGGGGGAGAAGTTCCAGAAGCTCCCCCCACTGAAGATGGAAGAAGCAGCAACACTGACTGCACCCCCCATTCCCTGCCCCTGAGCTGCTGGGGGGAGGAGGTAGAGATAGCGAGAGCAGAGCTGAGCCCGGGAAGAAGGGAGGGGTGGGGGGAAGGTGTTCTCAAGATGTGGCAGTGCTTCTCACTGTCCTACTCTGGCAAGTGTTGTTGGTAGTGTCTGTAATAAATGTATGTTCTTTTTTTCTTCCCCTAATGGGTCTGCCTTTTGCCCGTGACCATAATGGGTTATTTGCCCCTCCCGGTCCTATCCCGAATCCCTAGCTGGCTCATTTGTCCCTTCTCATCACTGGAGGAGAAGGGAGGAGCGAGCGGCTGCGTGGTGTTGGGCTGCCAAACAGGCTCAAACCACGACAAACATTTACTAAATAAATCCCCATTCCATTTTGGGTCTGAACTCATCATGCAAAGAATGTAATTTGACAGTATAGAATTGACAGTAATAAATTCAGTCAGTAGCGTGAACATAAAGACATCAATAATTCGGTATCTCGGTTATTTTTGCTATGCCACTTGAACTTTCTACTCAGTAATGAATAAATCATTATGGAGATGACATCAGTAAGACTGCACAGGCCATAGAAATGCAAAAGTAGACCCACACTTGTTACAGGGCGGTATTTCTGTATTCACAGCCTGAAAGCAAGTTTCAGTTCCTCATCTCAAACCATGGGCATGTCTTTACAGTGGACAGAAAGGCACAAGAATAAGCTTAAAGTTGTTATAAATTGCAACCTCTCCTTGAAGTACACATTTTTGTAGTCTTAGAACCAGCATGTTAACATCATATGTAAAATGACTTAGTGACACAACAGCACCCTCAGGTATAGTACATGCACAAACCAAAAAATACAATCTAGAAATAACATTTTGGGCACTGTTGGATGAAACAAAGAAACTTAGACACAATTTTTCAGCAAGCCAATAGGTTTACTTCCTAACGTTTTTATTTTTCACATGATGAGAACTTACAACAAATCACGTCTAACATTCTGATACAATCTTCTGAAAAGAAAAATAATCTGCTCAACATACACCACATTTTCCCAGCATCTTAGCAATGCACAAACACAAATGCACTTGCTGCCACTCTGAAAATTGCTGTTCTTCTCTGTGTAATCTCTAACCCTGGAAGATTGTTGTTTGAGGCCAAACTGTCTGACTGATACTAAGGAACTAAAGCATCGAGACGACTTTTAAAATATACCACAGCACTAATAGCTCTCTGTTGCTCTCTCTGATTCACTTATATAAACCTTCTAGAGAAATGAGGCTGCAGTCACAGTGCTTTGTGCCAAGAAACTTGATCCCTAAAGCCACATTTACAGGAAAACAGGACGATAATCATAATTATTGTACTAATGCAAAATTTCACACTGTCATTTCATTTATTCTTCTGAAAATAAACTTTGCTAAACAGGAACAACAGCATGAGCCTTATTTTTTTTTTTATAACAAGCACAAGACAGTTCGTTTTTCTTTGCTCTTCCTTCGTTGGAGTTAGCATATGGACAGTATTACAGAATAGGCTTACCGAATCATCCATCTTTCCATTTGCTTTTTCCCAAATTCCTTTACACACAGTTTGTCTAAAATAAAGAGCCAGGATGATGTACACAGTTGTAACGAGGAAATCAAAGCCACTTTTTAAAATTGTCTTACACACTTCCACTGTAATCAGAATACTCAGGATTTTATTTTTAGAAGACTCAGACACCAAACTCCAGCTGAAGTTAATCAGAGCTGTGAAAACTGATAACATGAAATTGCACCCTATCTGCTGCACTGTGACAGACTTTGTATTTCAGTTGCTCCTGCAGCATTCCATCAACGTGTTTTTTAAAGCACCCATAAATGGCTTACTAGTTGCCAGTGAAGACACTTTATTCTTTTAAATAATAATCATAGTGCCATGACTGTCTGCCCACTTAGAGAGTACACACCTCAATACCTGTAGCGTAGTTTTCTCTGAATCATTGTCCGACCTGTGGAACTATCACCTTTTAAGTAGGTATGTATTTACTACTACTTAGCAGTTCTTAGGGGTAATATTACTATCCAGCTTGTTGTTGTCCAGCGGCATTTATATGAAACTGTCCAATCTGTTAGGCATGTGGATTCTGAGTGGAAAATATTAACTAGATTAACTATCTATTTGCAGAAGAATGACGGTGACAGTTAAAAAACATCTCCAGACTTGGCACTCAGAAACTGTAATAGCAGGAACGAAGATAGTTTTACATTATACTAGATTATAGTTATTTTCCTGGTAAGAAATTTAAATCTTCAGTCTTGTCTGTCTACCTTGCTCCATACCAGTTACGGATAAACACCGTGATTTTTGTAATATTCTCACTGTGCCTCTTACTGCTTGGTTGTCTCCCTGATTACTGGTAAGCATCCATACTTTTGTGACAAGGTAAGTGGCAGGTTTAAACTAGATAAAGTATGATTTCTTCTTACCTCGTAGCATTCGTTATGGGCTGTTTCATATGAACATATTAGAAAAAAAATAAAAATCCACGCACCCTTTTCCATGCACAGCTGTCATCAGTGAGAAACTGGTAGAAAATTCTGTGTCTGTATTTTGGCAAGTCACTAAGTTACCTGTGTTTTGGCAGAGTACTTGGAATCGACAAAGCTAGACCTCTAGTGTTTCCAGAAACATTTGCTGCGTTCAACAGCGGCTGAAAGGAACCGGTTCATTCAAGTGTTTCCTGCGATCACAAGTAGCACTGCTTCACTTCTCAGAAGCTCTGGGATAGAAGCTGGTATCTGAAGGAACAGGGTAACAGCCGTAGTATGTCCTGCAGCATCAGCATTTGCTCCACTGATAAGATTTTCAGGGCCAACTGAGAGAGGATGCAGTTTCTTAGATTAATTATCTCCCTCTGCAATATGTCCTTGGCAATAGTGATTCCAGAGCTTTTGGTGGGAAACAAGCAAGACGTAATGCCCTCAGGTATTACGTTTCTGTTGTTGCAGCAACTACAGGAGAAACTTAGTTTGAAAAGCCACGCTGCCTCAGGGGAGGAGATGCAGCAGCAGCAGATACTCCTAAAGCTATCGAAGTGCAGAATGGACCTCTATACAGACACAGGACTCAAAGAAAATTTACCAAGATGAAAAAATTTAGCATCTGTACCTAGTCAAGGTTCCCCCACTGAAATGAAGCAAAATTAGACTGCATGACGTTCCTCCTTGAGATGCATTCTTCTTTCTTTAATCTCTTTTCTTCCCCAAAACCAAGCTTTTCTCTGCAAAACTCTCAGCTGCTAATAAAGGAATCCCTAAGGGTATCTGAGATAGAACTTCTAAGGCCCTCTAAAAGAAAATAATCTGATGTCACTAGTTTAAAATTAATGACATAAGGTCCAAACCTTCAGTGAAAAATTTGTAGGGTTCTATACATAAAAAAAGGCTGAAAAAGGCAGGCTAGCTCCAGGATATTATTTATTCCAAATATTTTTATACTGAAAATGAAACAAATGTTAGCATTAAAAAAGCTAAACTATGCACAGTACACAGCTTGGCCCTATAGTGTAATACCTGCATCACAAAAAATAGTAAATTCTCATACTTCAACATACAACCAATGCAAGTGTTTTGGTTTTTACATGTAAATTTTTTCACAAAGTCCATGTACAATCATTCATATTTTTAAAATAGTTTGCTTTACATTCTACGTTTTGCAGGGGTTCATTTTTTCACAAAATTCCAGTGATTAAGCTTGTTGGCAAGTATGATCAAAAGTTAATTTGAGCAGCTATTGGATACTTTGAATGGAAAATAAACTATATACTCAACAAACATGCATCTGGTAATAACAGCTGCAACCACACACACGGAGATGAAACATATATCAAACTAAATGCACCATCAAAGCACTTAGAACTATAAATGTTTGAAAAAAATGTTCATAAGCAAGCTGTTCTTGAAGAATGAGAAAATATTCAAATAATTGTGAATGGTGTATTTGACAAAATTAACCTTATAGACAACTTATGCCCCAAATAATTCTACAGCATGAATTCCTTGCCTAGATTTCATTAGAATCAAGAAAAATCTGATTTACAGGGAATTAAGGCATCCATACAACTTTGATAACATCAAGTCCATCAGACTCAATCATGAAATACAGTCAGTTTGAGTTTTATGTCCCTTCAAACCACAAAATCTTTGAGAATTACATTCAAAATTTTCTCAAATCATCTGCTTAAAGTGAGAAGTACAGAGAGTAATTGCTGTCTGGTGCCAATACAAACCACTACATGGGCTCTATTCTAATGGCTGCACTTTCACTAGGGAAACTGAGAAATTAAAAATACCGTTAATAAATACCTGCACAGTAAAACATACTTATACCCATGTATGTGTACACCCTAAACAACACAACCTTTACACCAGCGTAATTACAGCACAGAGGCTCTCCATTTGTAACGCAGGCCCTTCTGGAGAACTATGGATGAGAAAATAATTATACAAGACCACTTTGTTTCTGCTTGGCTGGGAAATAACTGAGCACATATGAAAAAAGTTAGCAGAACCTTGCTAGATTTATGAGCTCAGGTTAGTTTCACAAATGCTTTACTGGCAGCACAGCCAGTGTCACTGCATAAACTGGTTTACGCAAACAGATCCAACCGCTTTCCTCCCTGTTTGTTCCCACTACCACGGGAGGCCCTACTGGGTCACAGCAGTTATTCCCATCCCCGTGCAACCAACCAGACTGAGGAACCATTCCAGATGCTTGCTTGATTTTCCTGCCGGCACATCACACAGCCACACTGATGTCAGCGCAGACGCAGCAGCAGCACAAGTCCATGAATGAAAAAACCCCACTCCTTTTACAGGCAGCTTAGCAAGTTTGCAAAACCACCAAAAGAGCCAGCCATGACAAAAAATTACATTGGGAAAGGGGGATCTGAAGCCAGGGAGGTACATCACTGTTTTTCTTACATGGGGTTTAGCCCTTTTGCCAAGAATTTGTTGCAAATAGGTTTAAACACAACACTAAACACATTACAGATTCTAGTAGCTGCTTTAGAGTATTTGTGACTTAGGTGGAATACCTAAAAGCACACTGTTTGAAAACATGTATGTGGATTAGATATTAATCTCTCGAATTCAAGCCGTCCTTAATGAAAAGATAATGGGCCAGATTAGCTTTCAACAAAACCAAGAGAAATCTTGTAATTTTTATTTCTATCTTAATACTTGTATTTTGACACGTAAAGTCCTGTTCAGGTATTTAATTCAAACTGGGTAATTTCAACAAGAAGCAAGACTAAAGCAATGGTAACATCCCTTATTTCTCAAATCCCGTCAAGATGAGCGAGTACAGCGGTTACAAAGGGTTCAAGCCAAAATCCACCAGGTCCCGGGCACGTGCCTCCCTGCCAATACCGGGGAAGAGTGGGCAAGCTTGCGAGGGCGCCACGTGCGTGCCACCAGAAATTGAGCTTCTGCACAAACCACGCCGGCCCTTCCCCCCCTACATTTCAGAAAAACGGATTAAAGTATTTTAAAAACAAACAAACAAACAAACGAAAAACAACACACAAAACACAGCCAGACAGACTACTACATCAGGTGAACGGCAAATTAACGCTGCCCGCAGAGGTCTCCCCTCACAGAGCCCCCGCCGGCAGCCCGCGGGGCTGCGGGTTACCACAGCGGCACCCTACCAAATCCTACTGCCACCGGCCCCTGTCCCCTGGTGACACCGGCCCCCCACCACGGTGGGCGTGGGCGGCGGGGGGACGACACGACACGGACCTGCCCCTGCGTGTGTCCCCCGCCCCGCTCCGTGTGCCGGTCCGCGCCCCGCCCCGCGGCTGCCTCAGTTTCCCTCCCGCGCGCGCCAAGCCATTAGCGGGCCAGAGCCGGGGGGAGGGGGGGTAGGGGGCGGCAGCCGGGGCCGTGCCGGGGGGCTCCAGCGTTTAGGCGCCTTCTCCGCCACGCGGCGCCGGGCGCGCGCCCTCGCGAGGTTCCCCCGCCCGCCGCGCTACCTGTGGGGGAGGGGCTGCGGGTGGGGGATCCCCCCGTAACCGTCTCCAACCGCCACCCTCCCTGCCGCGCCAGCGCCTCGCCCCCCGCTCCCCCGCCGGCCAATCGGAGCGCTGCGCACGTGACGAGCGTTCCCTTCGATGACCTCATCCCTGGTGTGGGATGACGTCAAATTCAAGATGGATGGAATCACGGCGGTGGCAGCAGCGCGCGCGGGCGAACCGTGAAAGGAGGCGCCGAGGGGGGCAGCAGGGGGGGGCGCGGCTGGCGGCGGAGAGGGTGAGTAACGGCCGCGTCTCGCGCCCGTTTCGGGGGTTGCCCGCGCCGTATGGGTCTCCCCGTGTACAAAGGCGTCTTTTCCTGACGTAACTCTGAGGTGGTTTTTTTTTTCCCCCACCGAGCGGGGTTGCGGTCCCCGAGCAGCGCAGTGCGCCTGCGCCGGTTACGAAACTCGTTTCCCTCTCCTCCGCGCATGCTCTCTTCGCCGGGAGGAAACGGCTGGTGCCCGCTGAGCCGGCACACGCCCGCCACATCGCCCTGCCGGGCTGCCGTTCTGCGCATGCTCCGCACCCGCACGCCGTGCCGGCTCTGCCCTCCTCCTCCCCCACACCCCGGGGCCGGAATCCCGCCGAACCGCGCCTGCGCGGCGGCCGGAGATGGGAGGCGGGGGGGGGGGGGGGGGCGGTGCCCATCTTCGCTCTCCCTCACGGCGCATGCGGCGGCAGGAGGGGAAGGGGGGGGGTGTGAAGGAGCCCTTGGGGTCGGGTGGGGTTGGCGGGAAGGGGCGCGCGGCTGGTCGCGTGCACGTGTGTCGCCGTCGTCGTCGTCCCCCGCCATTACCTGCGCTGAGGGCAGCGCCGCCTCCGGGGGCGGTTACCCTGCCCCGCCCCCGCCCCGCCCCTCCGCAACGGCCGCGGGAGGGACCGGCGCTTCCCCCCGCCGGCTGCGGGAGCCGCGGCTCACGGCTCTACCGCGGGCAGACCCTGGCTCTGATCTGAGGTGTAAAACATGACAGAGGATCCGGGAGGGCTGTGCCTCCCCCGGTGTGCCTTGAAGGGAGAGCCGCGCTAGCCTGCAAATTTCAGGGCGGAAAGCAACCCAGCAAGGTTCCTGCGGCGTATAAGTACATGCAGGTATTAAAACAAAGTGTATTCGCTAGTCCAAGCGCTCTTTGGCTGCATTATTCATGAGTCGGAAAAAGTACATCTCCTAGTCTAGTGGAAAAATTCGCTGTGCCGTGCGCCAGCATGTGCTGTGCGCTTGCTGAAAGCTGTGGAAGGTATTTTACCCAATCACAGCTGTCGGAGAGAATTCTACTTTTAATGCCCCTTAAAGTCCAAACTGTCAGTGTATGGCCAGATAGGATGCCGCTCGTGAAGTATTGAACAGAAGGAAAACTTAATCTAAATGAGTTATTATGAGACAGGAAATACTGTGGAATTTCATTGTGTACTGAGTAAGCTCTTCTTAATAATTAAATGGCACTTCTTTTAAAAGCTATTCAGGTTTTTTTGTTGTTGGACTCACAGTAGAAGTAAGAGGTAGGTAGGCTATAGGTGTGACATTGTGATGAATTACATAATCACACAACTTTTTGTGAATACAGTGAAAGTCTTACAGTTAAGTCGTAGTTAATATTTTTATCCTTAAGTGTTAATATGAGAATAGATTTTTTTTTTAAAATGTATTTTTGTACAACAAGGTGTTTGATATTAAATCAGGAGTAGTAACTATGTATTACAGGTAAATCCAGTACTGTTTTATGTTTGTATTGCCTAAACACTGCCAGGGTTCTGCTCAGACTTTGTTCAAACTGACAAGCTAACTGCTTTGACTAAAATTTTCCACCAAGGTTATTCTGATGTTCTTGAGGAGAAGTTTTGAGCAAACTTTAGCAACTGTTTTTATAAACCTTGTTTGCAAAAAAAAAAAAAAAAAAAAAAAAAAAAAAGTGGCCATCTCTTGGGTGGAAAGGGATCTGACATCCCTTTGTCTCAGATTTTATTATCCACATGCTCTACCGCTGTAATCTCATGCAAACATTTGGTTTCCTCTACCTGTAGAAAACCCACCTGACCTGGCTGGGTTGTAAACATTTAAAGACCTGTCATTTGCACGTTCTCATCAGGGACTCACAGGGAAATGTCACAAACTACAACGTCTGGAGTTTTCAGCTGCAGTGATGTGTGCCAGACCAGGATTTATCAGGGGTTTCTCCAGCTGTGAGCTCCCTTGAGCCTGCTGGAGCCAAGATATCCCCTGGGGATCGGAGCTGAGGGTGAGTGAAGATGTCTCTTGCTCTCAGTGGTTCTTGTCCCTCCGCTAATTTCAACATTGCCCTGTGATCCTAAACAAGATTAAAGCCATAACGAGTTGTGTGCCTTTTCTAAGGCTTAAGGAAACTTATCCTTTAGTACGTATTAGCACTCTTATTTAACATAAAAAGGGGCAATAGCTTCTAAGAAGTTCCAGAAATTCTCTTTGCATGGAACATTTAATGGTACATAAGTATGATAAATGTGAAGATTTGTGCTTCCTTTTCCTACTGTGTAGGTTCCAAGTGGCAGGGTGATACTCTGTCAGCTGACTCAAATTCAACACGCTTCTTAGGCTGAGAACCCTACAGATCACTAGAAGCTTGGTATTGCTAAGAGACTGGGTTTTGTGAGCTCGTGTTTTGTGTGTGTGTGTGTGATGCTAGAGAATACTGATACACAGAGAACTAAATAGCTGGTGCTCTGATTGTCTTTGTAGTAATGGCTAGCTATGCCTTCCTTAAAATTAGAGGCATACCAATGTTTGGGTTTAAAAACACAATTTTACAGAAAGCTGTGAGCTTTCATGCTGTATTGAAGTTGTTTCTTTTTGAACTTTGGTAGCTGTGAAGCAGTTACTATAAAAAACATTGAGTTATTTCCCGTTATAGTTTTCAAGGTTTTGAAAGTTATTTTATCTGCAAAATAGTGATAACTACAGTCTATAAACAAGTGTAGATTTACAGGGTAGAGGAAGGAGGAGCTGGGGAGAGGAAGTTGGGCTGTAACCACCATATGGTTTGTACTGCACTGGGAGGTACTATGCTGTGAGTCACACACATTACAGTTGCAGCTATTTCCAGCTCTCATTAAAAGAAATTCTCAACTTTTGAGCAAGTGAGCTGTTTCATAATGAACGCTGCTACATTTAATGATCTGAGATCCTTGGAAGGGAAGGGAAAAAAAAAAAAATCTTTAGAGGCAGCAAAATCTATTATTGCAAGTAGAAAGACTGCAGTACTCCGTGCTTTAAAACAGATATTCTGTGCAGAGGGAATTGCTTTCCCCAAATATTTGTGGTGTAGATTTAATATTAGTCTATGTACTGTAATATTTTTTCCAATGTTTTCCTTAATGATAATATTTAAGACAGCAGTTCTCTTATATTTTCTTTCATTCAGCAGTGAGAAAGAAAAATCTGTTGTCTTTGCTTATTGGCTACTTTATGTATTATGTTGTTCTGGAATAGTTCAGGCATATTATATGAACAAGGAAAGAAAGTGTTGAGCAACTCTTCTACCTTCCTAAACTCATTCTACCTCCACCACCATCAGTTCAGCAGTCTTACAGCCCGTCAAAAATAAGAAAGTTTTAAAATCACCTAGTCCTGATTGTTGAGGGGGTTTTGTTTTCCCTCTGAGATTTAGTGAAATTCCACACTTTTGTTGTGCAAAATCTTTCCATACAATCTGTGATGAAAAGGCATGAGAAATTCTTTGGCTAAACAATTTCAAAAAAATATTGTGACACTTGTCTCTTCATAGTAATTCATATCCAGTTAAATTGCATTCTTCAGGAAAGGAAGAAATATTTTTCCCTTTTTTGTCTTGGAGCATTAATCTCTTTATCCATGGTTTATCCTGCATCAGCATTTAACATTGTGAGTAATCTTCAGGTTGCAATTCATTCTCAGTAATCCCTTTGGTCAGTTATGGTTAGCGCTGGGACAGTTCTTACACAGGGGACAGTGAGTGTCCCAGTCACCCCCTCACCCCCCATCCCTGTGACTCACTGCTTTCCCTCCAGCTCTGCGTGGCTCATGCATAGGCCAGCATCATCCCGATACCACCGTACACTGGATAAACTGGAACTAGACTTGTACGAGTAGTCCTGGTAGAGTGGGTGCTCACCCCCTAAAAACCATTAGAGCTACTTTGGGGTGAACTATTTTGCATTCTGGCCTGAATGCGTTTGTGAGTATCTTTGGAGAATTTTTCAAAAATCATGTACTTGGTACAGTAAATATGCCTCACAAAAATGCTTTTAAAGTAAATTAAGAAACGTGAAAGGAAAAGCAGCAGAATTACAGTGATTTCTAGTTACAGTTTGCCACAGCTTAATCGACCTGTCACAATCAAAAGGAATTAGTTTATTTTGTGCCAGGACTTAACTCTGAGTACAGTTCTTCAGCTGTTGAGGTCAATGGCCAAATTACCTGGAAGTTCAGTAAGAATAGGACCAACTCCTTACTCATAAATACTTTTGAGGAATAGAGAAAAAATACATACTGTTCTTGTTCATGGAGGAGGATTTTTTACTTTTTTTTTTTTTAAGATGTGAGATGTTACCTACTTCCAAATGCACGTGGGCTTTGAGTAAGCTGAAAATCTTCCACATGCTATTCATGACCTTGTAAATCGCTTACGTAAAACTCATGTAAAATTGCTGTTGTCTTTCCCCTTTTACAGTATCCTGTATCGTCTTCCCAGTATCTTGCCCATAATTAATGATGGCTGAATGGATATGATGGCTGAATGGAGTTTTCTTTGGATCCCTTCAGTGGGTTGAAGATACCTGCGTTCTTCGAGTCATAAGTCTCTCATTTGGCAATTTTTTAGGCTCAGTTTTTATATTAGTTCTGCATGTTTCAGATTAAGTGCATGACTCTTTCTCCCATCCCTTGTTTTCTTATAGAAACCTTAGTGTAAGCACAATTCTGTTTTTAGAGAAGTACCTTATATGGGTATAACTGGCTTGTCTTTGCATCTAAAATATACTATGCCTGTAAAAAAACATTTTTATGTTAGTAGAAATATGCCCACAATTAGGT